GGATTATGCTTGGTGTGTTTGAGGGGCAAAGTCAGAAACTGGCTGGTGGATTCTGTCGGTGATTTGGTGGTGAATTAATGAGGCCAGTAATATGACCACGTTTTGGCCAATTGCCTCTGAGTCAGCAATGGGGGGTATGGGGTCTGTTTCATGGCGGATCGCTGCATGAGCCACTCCGGCTGGTTCTTCAGCTCATGTTTGGTCCCCAAACTCCTGAGGACCATGAAGTACTTGGACAACTCTGAGACCTGGAGAACTTGAATCCTCTCGGTCCCCGAAAAGGAAACAAGCATCTGGTCGCAGGTACGAGGGCGTTTTTCAGACCTACAACGAGGAGGATGAGGCTCGTGCGTGCGCGCTTTCTCTAAATCTGGCTATGCCTCACCTGATATGAACCGTTTTACATGGGCAGCTCGTCTTTTTTTGGGGCCGTCCAAACTGGCGAACGGTTTTCCCTTTGGGGTCCCTTTATAACCCATCAAAAAAACAGGTACCCTCAAGGTAGTAACCCTTGATGGGTAATTTGGATTGGTGGTTTGGGGATTTTAATCCCTGGATCCATCCCTAGCCTCCAATCCAGCAAACCAAGCCATCAAGTGGAGTTTCCACACTATCTACAGGGAGTTGATCAAAAGGTCATTTGCATGTGACGATCATTGGGGAAAACCACTACACAGATGGTATAATTTATGTCCCACATGGGAAAAGTTACCCATCTGGGGGCCCTAAATGGAGTATTGATCAACCCCCACATCACGAGTTGCTGTGCTTCCATGTCCTCTCGCAGCAGCGCCGCCCAGGCGGCGCTGCTGCGGCGCTTCTTTCAGCTGATGAAGGAGACCTGCCCCCACGTCATGGCGCGGGCCCTTTCTCGACTCAAGGCTACCAGATGCCAGGTGCCACTAGGGCGCCGAGAAAAAAAGCAAACACATAGCTATGAATTTCAATGTGGAAGTCCCTCAAAGTTGGTTGGCGGACATTAAACCCCCACCGAATCCTGATGTGCACCAGAGGGTCCCCAATTGAAAGTCATACACGGGGATTGATGCAAAGGACCTGTTGATGGCTCATTGAGCCCGCAACTTGCTTTTCTTACCATGTCCATTATGTAGTGACTGTGCATGACTGTCCTTGGCCGCAAGGTCCACAACAGGCCCTGCAATGTCCCACCCCGCCTTTTTGGGAACCCCCCCTCAACACAGCACTCCAGGAAGACTGAAATGGGGGGTTCTCAAAGTGGTGTACCCTTTCCGTTTGGTGCGTTGGGAACATTTGGGCAAGCAGAAGCCGAACATCTTGAGGTTCGCTTTTTTGAGAATTCCCAGGTTTGAACGTTTGGGAAGACCCAAAAGCCTTTGTTTTCCCGTGCTGAAAAGTATAGCTCGAGCTGCTTCCCCCAAAGCCCCCGACTCGCCGATTTCGGGGAACCAAAGTTACGTCTTTTTTCTTTTGACCTCCAGGTGTCCGAGGTCTTTCTTTTGCAGCTGGTTCTGGGGGTGTGTCTTAAAGTCAGAAACTGGAATTGGCTTTCCTTTCGCCTAGCACTTTAAAAGGTGACTTGATGGTCCGTAGAGAATTCTGGGGCCGTGTGGCGTCCTTGCTTCTTATTGTTGCTTTCTGGTCGTGGTCGGTTTCCTGCGACATCAACCGCCTTGGGTTTTCGTGGTTGGTGTTCCTTGAGAGTCAGCCGACCTCCTGTTGTTTTCCTTTCAAGATCAGCCAAAAGGTGTCTCTTCCTCGTGCCTCGCTACGGAAGGGACCAGACGTCGAGTTTTTATCGCCGAAGGTCAGCTTCAACGGGGACTTCTTCGACTATCCCTTTGTGCAGAACCGCGCAAAGGCTTCGAAGCGCCGCAGGTTTTGGCTGGGATTTGGCTCGGGTTCGGGCGGGTTTCGAATTTCGAGTGGTTCCAGGCAGGCTCGATTACAACCCCCCCTTTAAAGGGCGACCAAGTGGCCAAGCGGATATGCTTTAAGCAACAGGTGGTTAAACATGTTTGACCCAGCGATTGGCGCAGCCAGTCCAAAAGCTTCTCATGAGGATGGACTTGAGGTGAGAGGTCAAATCGGCAGGCGCTTGGACCCTGAGGTAAGTCAGGTGTGCCCTTGCCTCTTTGAGTCGCTAATGCCAGTGGTTTGTGTCTCGAGGTCTCCACGTTGAGTTGAAGCTTTCGTGATGGGCAAGATCCGGCACCAGTTGGTAGGTGGTCAGCATTTTTTGGGGCTTCGTCGCCTCGCGCAGGAGTTTGTCTATTCACCGGCTTTAGACTCTCACTCATTCACCTGGTCGGGTTCGTGATATGGGGTGAAGAAAAATGTTTGCCGAAGCCGGCTTAGTCTATCTACAGCCGGCTTAGTCTACGTCCGCTTTGCTCATAGTCGCCGGAGGTTTGGAACAAAGAACCCTGTGAACGTTCAACCCAAAGCCTGTATGTTGACGTCCAATTTGCCGCCCAAAAACAGATTGAGGGTCGTTTAGTTTTTCGACAGTCAGTTTTGCACTGGATGATTGCCATGTCCTTGCCAGGCCTACAACATGGATTGGTTCGCAGAGGCGTTTGTGGGGCGAGAATGGCTTCGGTGTAGAATGGCTTTGTCACTTATTCAACCGTGTCTTTCCCCAAACCTCCATTGCTTTTTTGAAGCAGGGAGGGGGTGTTTCCTTCTTTTCCAACCAAACCTCTGACGGCGTCTTTTTTATTCCCTTTCTTAGAGGTTAGCATGGCAAATCAGACCCTCTCGCAGAATTGAGTCACCTTCACTTGGAGATTTGGGATTTGAACCCTGGCTTTTGTAGAGGGTACATGGGAAACCCCTCCTAAACCACCAAGCCACCAATCCAGACCACCAATTGGAGGGAAGCTGACACTGTCGAAACTTCTTGCCAGTAAGCCTGTCCAGGCCAACCACATCTCCCAGTTTTTGCAAATCGTTTGTCGCGTTCTGACGCACATGGTCTCACGGCATATTTTGGAGTTGGACCGGGCTATTTCCCACCAGTCAACATGAAACCTGACACGGGGTCCCTTCAAACACGGGGTCCCTTCAAAAGGAAAAATGTCTTCCAGCACGGTCAGGTTCCATGTCAATTTGGTGGGCTTGGTGGCTAGCTTTTTAGCCTTTTAGTGTTCAGTGGTAGTTTCCATTTGACCATTAAAAGTGGAACTTTTAGCAGGGGATGTGAAGGCAGCCCAGTGGGAGGGTGAAAAAAGCACAAGTTGAAACACCTGGATTGTTCTTGCAATACCCGAGAGACGGCACGTGGACCCTAAGATGCAAGAATACTTTTGACTTGAAGCTGAGGCACGCCACGCCCATTGCCTCCCTAAAGGGGGCCGCAAGGGTCCGACTTGCGTCACTGGGGTTTGGACCTTTTTAGTGGCATACACAATTCAAAGTCTGGATGCTGTTTTGGGCCCTCGAACGGAAGCGAGTAATGTATGAAGGGCTTATTTCGCGCCAGCCAGCTCCGGCAGGGTTGGGTCCCTTCCTCCAGGGGCAACTTGCATGGGGTGCTTCCAGGAAATCGGGAAGGATGCTCCAAGATGGGGTTTGATTCATTCGGGCTGTTGTATATTATCAGATTTGGTGGAAATCTGGGTGCTAAATAGCTGATATGAAAAAAAACATTACACAAGCGTAGACCCCAAATAGCGAAAAAAAGCCATCCAACGATTGCAAGCCAGGCACCTCTAACAGCACTGCCTGAAGAGCACCACCCCAAACAGCATCCCAAAACAGCACCTGCACAAGAATGCCCAAACTGCATGCCCCCTAGCACCCTACCGTCAATCATGCGCAGCATGCCCCCTAGCTACCATCAATCTTGCAAAAGAGCGCCCGCACCATTCACCAGCAGACCAAGCAGCACCCCAACAGACCTCACCAGCACCCTAAACCGCACGCCCTCTGCACCCAGCCAACAGTCTCGCAAAGAACTTTCCCTTCTTTACAGTTAGAACCCCTATAGCTTTCAGCTATTTGGGGAATAACCAACTGATAGATATTTGTCGATTTTCCAGACCCTATTTAGCACCCAGAAAGACAATGACCTGACCTGTGTCCATGTCCTGGTGCACGCCGGACTCTCACTCGTATTCACCATGGCTCGAGGTGCTCGTTCAGAGCTGGGTCAAAGGTAACCCAACTTCAAATCTGAAGAAGCAACATTTTGCTGGCTTTTGGTTGGGACGAATCGCACATGGATCGCAATTGGCTATGGTTGCCAAGGGATCGCAAGCGTATCGCAAGCGCATTCGCAAGCGCAAGCGCTTTGGAGGTTTCCAGGCAGGATATCCGCTTTATTTTTGAGGGCACCCTTTTTGAAGTTGAAAGGAAACGGTCAATCCGAAGTCCATGCAGCTCAGCCCTATTTCTTACACACCGTATTCACCGGAGGCCCAACACCCAGGTCAAAAGCCCTTGTATTTTCCCAATTGAATAAGGGTGACACAATGTAGATTCTGACAACTGCTCGGAGCAAACAAACACATGGATTTCTTGGTCGGCATCTCGGGCTGTAGCGTTTTGGATCTGGGCATCGAACACATGGAGGGCAGTACCATTCGGGGGTGAGAAGTTCATAGGGGGCTTACTTTGGTCCGCAGAAATCCAAAGTTGACATATATCTGCCCTTTAGGCACCATGACATTGGGTACACTCGCCCAATTCACCACCGGATAGCCAGGGGGGTGACTCCAATGTCAGTTGTGGGCACATTTCAAGAAGTACTTGCTCGCCTCAGGAAAGTCAACTGATGGGTTTCTTTCGACTGTGTGATCTGTTTGGACACGCGAAGGTAAGATCAGTATATGCCGAACTCCAAAAAGGAGACCGTGGGTGTAATTTGCCGCTGATGGGAACCAAGAGAGCCCTCCCAGATTGTTTGATGATATTTTTTGGGTTGATGAAACGGGAAACCACGTTCCCTACAAAAGACACACATACCCACTTAGCCCCAGGTGTAGCTTTTTTCTTTCTCCCCGCCATGCTTGGTCGCCATGGATGGCACGCAGCCAGGCCGGGGGCCTCTTTTCTTGTTTTTCGGTGTTCGGCTTGGGAGAGACTACCCTGCCTTCCACCAACATGGCACCTGACAGAGGGTCCGTTGAAGAGAAAATCGATCCTCCTACCCTTTGGTGCATTTTGCTTGGCTGTTAGGACTTTAACTTTTTGCCAGCTAATGGGTTTTCCATTAAACCACTAAAAGTTAAACTTTTAGCAGGGGAGCAGAAAGCAACTGAGTCACCCTCCCACAGGTCTGAGCAGCGTTTTCTTTTTTTGGATGAAGACCCACATCTTCGCCGCTACATTTGTTACATATCGCGTAGGCGTTTGTCTGACAGGACCGCATCCGCGTAGGCGTGCGTAGGCATTTCGCGGAGGCTCGTGTTGCGAAGCTTCTCGTATGCAATCGCGTAGGCGGCCGGTTATGAGCTTGAACTGTCACGTGACATGTTGAGCATTGTTGTTATGCAAGACATGGTTGTGTGACCGTTTGTGAGTGGCTGTTTGGCGCAAGCTGTGGGTAGTAGTTTTTTGCAAGCTGTTTTCAGCATGACAGCGCAAGCTGGCGGTTGCTGGCGGAGGGAGGACCAGGTTCGCTTGTCCGGCAGCGCTGCAGGCAACTCGTATTGCGGCGCTGCTGCTAGTAGACCAGTTGTGCTAGGAGGAAAAAACATATCCCCGGATTTCCAAACAAAGCAGGCGCTTTTTGCGTAGGCGCCGCTTAGGCTTCGCGTGGGCATTTTGTCCAAAATTTGACCGGAGGCCCTTGGTAGCTCACCTCCGTTTCACTGTAGCCGAACTCCTCGTTGCCGCATAGGCGGCGTAGGCAGGTGTCTAGTCAGCTCTGTCTCGCGTGGGCGTTTTTGTGGGACTGTTGTGTTTCGCGCGGGCGTGGCGTAGGCGCCGCGTAAGCAAGTTACAAATGATAAGGACCCACACAACCAAACAAGACACTGCTCCGGTGCTTTGTTTGTTGGAGGAGGGGTAGCTCAAACTGCGGCCCATTGAGGTGGCTTCCATTGCAAACTTTAGCTGCCAACATTGGCAATCACTCCGCAGATGGACACGGGGAAATCCCCAAAAACATGTTTTGTGAGAGGGTGTTTGTAAAAGGGATCTTTCTGAAGAAACCCCCCTATTATTGTTTGTTTTCCACGTGTTGTTTGCAAAAGGGATGCCTTGTGGAGGTCCACATATGAATCGGAGTGCCGTTCATCGGCGACCGTGGGAGTTCGCTTCGCTTGTGTTGATTGAGAATACCCTGAAACTATCCTTTACAGGGATGTCATGTTTGTGTGCCGATATGCCATGTCAAGGGTATTTTGGGAGTCCAGGTGTTCATTGTTTGGTTGTTTGGGCGCCTTCGGATGGGCTTCCAGTTACCATCACACCGGGACACTATATGGGACTTGTTACCATCACACCGGGACACTACATGGACTTGTCCTCAACTAGGAAGCCCCCATTGGTTTTTCCTTGGTTTCCTCTGATTACCTGCCACCCTTCTCACCAACCAACATGCACCTAGGCGGCAGGCCCTTCTCGGTGATAGTTGGTAGCAAGTTTAATATGAAGCCAAGTCAGTATCCAACTAAAGTTAGCTAAAATGAAGTAATTGTAAACTTGGGGAGCCTGGTGACTTATTTATCACAACCAGTTCTCAAGCACACGTACAGTAGGGTGAATGTAGGTGGCACAGCTCTCTTTGGGTAAGTAAAGGGGATAGTCAAACCAACATGGCGTGGAATTGTGCCATCTCTCCATCAGTTGTTTTTTGACTTTTCGGGTTGACTATAAACAGACATGATCTGAACATTGAGTCTTAGTGTGCCAAGTTGGTCTTTGGTGTGACCTTGGCTCCTGCGGCCTGTGGATTTTGTCCATCGCTAGAAAAAGAGAGGGCTTTTTGCTCCAAGGGGGTCTTTTTGCCAGCTTTCGTGGAAAAATGATCGACCCCCTCCTTTTTGAGGGGGTCGCATTTTCTCACAAAAGGTGGCAAAAAGACCCCCCTGTTTTGCTCAGGGAAGAGCAACACAGGCGGTGGCTTTTTGGCCCCGTGCTCAGGCAGAGGCAGCAGCAGTGACGGTGCGGACGCGGGGGATGAGGGCGAGGAGAGCGATACAGGCGAGCGGGTGGGAATCGGATTCGAACTGTTCTTATTTTCCCGTTCTTCTCTATATAGCTATGAATCTTAACAGTGAACCCCCTGGTTAGTGGACATAACTCCCCGTCTGCGAAATTGGCCCCCCATGAAAGTTCACACCCATGACTCATGTTCCCCCTGCTTGGCACGTGCAAATCCAAAGTGGGCTTCCTTTGAGGAAAAGAGAGCAATGCTAGTTCGGCCTTTGTGCCTTGCGAGGATCCATCCAGAAGAAGGGACCCTTTGGGGGAGTTTGAGGGTTTTGGGTGCAATGGGGTTCATCTCCAAACAGAATATAGCACCCCAAAATAGCATATTTCAATGAGTTCTTCTGACTTCTGGTTTCCCTTCAGGGATTGATACGTGCTTTTTCAACGGACATATATGAATAATATATAAAACATTTAATATATACACATATCATACACTAGACGTCTATATATGATACCCCCCCCCCCGAGCTTGTCCGGGAATCCAATCGGCCAACAGAAAGCACAAAAACAGGAGACAAAGCCACATACATACATACATACATACATACATACATACCTACCTACCTACCTACCTACCTACCTACCTACCTACCTACCTACCTACCTACCTACCTACATACCTACATACCTACATACCTACATACCTACATACCTACTTACCTACATACCTACATACCTACATACCTACATACCTACATACCTACATACCTACATACCTACATACCTACATACATACCTACATATATATATATATGATATGTAATGTGTATAATACATATATATATATATATATGAGGTGTATATATATATATATATATGTATGATATGTATGTAATGTATGTATATAATGTGTATAATATATATATATATATATATATATACACACACACATCTGTTCATGGTAGAGCCCAACAGTCGCTCCAACGCAGGCTTTCGGTGCCGTGCCGTGGCCTCGGACGCCGGGAGCCTCGGACTTCGGGACGTGGGGACTTGGGGCGGGCAGGGCGGGGCAAGGCTTTCCCGGGAAGGGGGGGTTGTTCACCCATGGGAAGCGATTGCACTGCTGGACATATGTTTTTCTTTGTTTTTTTCCAGGGGACTTAAGCAAATGAAGCAAATGGAGGCATGGGAAACGTTGCTGTGGGTCAAACATAGCTGCCCAAACTTGGCGAAGCCTGTGGCACATGAGATCATGGTGGCATAATTTTGACCCATACCCATGTAGGGAGCCCTCAGTGTGCAGATTCAAGAACCCCGTCGTCCTATTAATAGACGGTGGGTTTTCTCCAGAAGTGATGAATCCCCACTACAACAAGACAACCCTTTCCAAGATGAATGAGGGGTCAATCCGGGGTTCCCATGAATGTTACACCTCCTTTCATGATAGGGTCCGCTGGGGTCCTTTCAGAGGGGGGGGGGAAGCCGCGAGGTGCCCGCGCTCTTGCGGAACCTCTACGAGCAGCGTGACGCCGGGGAGGTTTGCTTCGTGCGCGGCGCCAAGGATCTCGAGATGTGGGGATGTGTTGCTCGAGGCAGAGGTTTGAATACAAAGCAAACCTTTTCTGGGTGGTTCCCAGATATCCCTTTGGTGGGGATTTCCATTTAACCCATTAAAGTTAAACTTTTGGCGGGATCTGAGGACAGCCCAGCTTCTTGAAAGCTACATGACCCATGTGTTGCTCATGCTTCCTGAAAGGTGAGAAACCAGAAGTGTAACGGCACCATATTTGTTCTTGCTTTCCTTCATATACTTTTGCGCAGCATGGAGTCAACTGTTTGCAGGATTTTAAACGTAACATGTAAAAAATGCCTTCAGGGGTGATGCCGACCAATCGGCGCGCATCGCATAGCCTTTCTCCACATGTTGAGTTGAGTTTTGTTTCTGTTTTGTTCCTAGAATGTCCCGTGCCTGTTTGTGCCAATTGGAAGCTGGTTCTCTATAGGATAGAGACTGGGGTCTTGATATCAACTCAGACCATAGGGGGTATCTCAAGGTGGGTTTGTGGTTTTGTTTGAGATTTCCCTGTTGGACGTATTTGAAAGAGAAGCCCGTCAAAAAAAGAGAGGCCATTTTGCGAGGCCCGCCGGATTAAACCGCGAACTGCAAGGAGTCCAGAGGTGGCCTCCCCACCTTTGGGCTGTCAGGCTGTGTGCCGAAGACACACAAGTAGTTTGGTCGGGGCTTTCTCTGGGGAACCTTTCCGACACAGAGTGTCAAGGCGCGTGTCGAAGATGGTTCAGGAACCTTCTGGCTCAAGCTTTTTTAGCTCAAGCATAAATGTGACGGAATCTAAGCATAAATGTGTTGGAATCTACCACTACCGGACAATATGTTTCTTTTTCTGGGTGACTGAAGCAAACGGAAGCAAGCCTTTGATCGCAGCACGCTTTGAAGAAGAGCCACGCAGACTTCGCCAGCACTCCCCGAGAGCCTAGATTTGTTACTTTCGTGGCAAGAAAACAGTTGCAACCTTCCTTGGCCAATACTCTGGCAAGAGTCCTATGACTCAGAACTTGTTCTGTTTTTTGTTTTTTGTTTGTTTTGAGGTTGCTTTGTGTTTTTCCGGCCTCACAATTTTCAACTTCTGGTCAATACTAATTTCAAGGGCATGTCACGCAGTCAGGGGCAAGCTAGGTTTGGCAAAGCGAGAGCCAGCGAAATGGCAACCTCCACCAAAGGGGCGGAGATTTAACCCAAATCACCATTGCCTGACCGGCCTACAGGGGCCCACTCCTTTCTTCAGGGAGGACCTCTGGCGAAACCCTTGAAGAAAATTGGTTGCGCATTGGTTTGCTGCTGAAGCTTCGTGCTGTTTGGACTTGGATCAACCGCTCGCCTCTCCTGCCGGTCCATGCTTCATGATGAGCTCCGGCAGCCGTTGCGAAGGCGCGCCTGGGGCGTCTTGGGGACTCCTTTTTGGTTGGTATTTCAAGGGAAGCCAAAAGGAAGCCTACACAATTAGGGCACCTAATTTTCGAGGTACCCTCAACATATTGTGGTATGTGGCAAGTTGTTTTTCGGCAACCGCCTTGTTTGTTTAGTTCTAAAAGGAAGGCCAAAAGGAGCTTGTGTATGCCCGGCTTTGAAACGCCCATGCCGTTACGTGGCGGTTGCCAGATAATCCACCCGGCATGGGAGTTGATCGAAAGACGGCTTTTCAGGTGTCCAGTTGGGTGCGCGGTCAAAATAGCAAGTTGTTGAGAACCTAGGCTAGAACCCACACGTAAAAACCTCATACGGGTGACCCCAAACACTTGCTGGGGGGGGGGGGGGCTGGGGGACTTGGAAACAGAGGACCGCAGAACCCTCAAACTGCATGCTCGCCTTCTCTTGCGGCTGTATGACCGCCACCTGGCTTCGCGATTCAATGATCACATCCTAAATTTAGTGCGAGCTGATGCACAAAGGGCCCATGTACAACATGTTTGTCCTGGTCAAAATAATTCCTTACGGAGGGTTCTCAAGAAAGGTCATGGACCCCTCAATGTAGTTTGTTTTTGTTTGACAGTCAGGGTCCTTAAGACCATGACTACCAGAATTCTCTAGGTCCCCCAGTAGTGCTTTTTTACCCTTTCTGGGGGGAGGGTTCCCCTACTACATTAAACACACCGGAAAAAGTTGGTACCCTTATTCCAACCTCTCTACTGGAGGACCTAGTTCACGTGAGTTTCGATTACAGTTCGCCAGAAACCTGAAGGGCTTGTCGAGGTTTCAGCTTGGTGAAGAATGTTCTTCGCCGTTTTGGAGGAATGAAGCTTATGGCAGGGGCGGCCAGGGGGGTTGATCCCAAGGTGCGTTAAACCTGGGATGACCATCGGGGAAGCCACACAAAAGATGATATGTCCCAATGGCAAAAGTTACCCATGCTCATTTCGGGGCCCTAAATGGAATATGGATGAATTTCGCACCTGGGTGGTTTTATTCCGCGGTTGCGAAGACCAAAAACCAAACGTGGTGCGACCTTGCCTTGGATCGCTTCAAACGGAGTTAGTCAGGTGTGTAGCACCTTGCCCTGCAAGACCTGGTTGGCTCAGATGCAAAGGATCAGGGATGTCCACAGATCCCTGGACAGATGTGGATTCCGGGACCAGACCCCAAACACTGCCGTTGGTGGACCAGAACTTGAGGCTAGCTGATCCCTCACATGCTCAACCATCTTAGCTGTTTGTGGGTCATATAGAGTTTTAAGCATATGTAGGCCAGGGAGTCCCCTCTAAAAGTGACGTAGTCATGGGATTCTGAAAATTGAATTCCCCTGTATAAATAAAATGTGACCAAAAGCAGCTATGGGCATCAGTGGAAATCAACCACAAGGTATCACACGCTTTCCCATGCCACGAGCCCTGCGGCAGACATGGTCCGTGGATTCGGATGTGTCTAGCCCTTTGGTTCTGAAGGGGGTAAATCCTATGGGAGGGGGAATCCTAGGAGTGTGTTTGCGCTGAATTCCAATGGACCACATGGCGCAAACGTTTTGTTGAAGAAGGTTCTTCACGGAAGGCACCAGAGACCATGGAGGGCATGGGCTTCTGGTATAAGCCTAGGAATTGGTTCATGAAAAAGGCGGGTTTCTGCGGCGCATGTTTTTGAACACATGTTTGCTCACAGCCTTTTGGCTCACGCATGAAGGAAAACCGGGTGCGGAAGGAATGAATTCCAATTGCCAATGTCCAGCTGATTTCCGAGCTTATTCCCTAGGCATGAACCGGCCTACACGAAACGCTCCAACAGTTCAGTGGGGATTGTTCGTCAGAACTCAGCAATCTTCTGTACCCACCTTTGCAGGAGCCAGCTGGCAGATATTGAGGCGCCAGCGCGAATCGGGCCGTTGGGGTTGAAAAAGGCGATCTCACCAGGAGAGGCATGGACTTCGAAAAGGTGGCGAACCGGGGAGGGGGGCTATCACCTGGCCTTTTGATTTTTTGATAAGGCATCAGGAGCTCATCAACTTGGCTTCTAGGCTTGTCCATAGCTCCCAGTAGCCCACCTAGGTGCATGATTTAGGGGTCACCTAGCTTTGGAAAGACCATACGGGCATTTGTCCAAATTTGAGCGGTTTTTCTTTCCGCTTCCTTGTTCAGCAAACCCTGAAAAGGGTACCTTCAAAAAAGCCAGCCCGGGCATTTCCGTAATTTGCGGAACCATTTGTTTAAAAGAACGTTCTGTCATCACACATTGGCCTTTTAGGCGGTTCCCCAGTCAAAATGATCAGCTTCAAAGGAAGGGTTTGGCCTCGGATCTAACCGCGAATGATGTGCCTGGACCCCCCACAAAACGTTTGATTGCAAGGGCTGGGTGCATGTTTAGTCTACAGCAAAGCATGATGTATATGTATACACATGTTTTTTCCGTGGCAGACCCCAATAGGCGGCATGTGCGAGGCCCCCCATTGGTATGAGTTTGGAGTGGAATGTTTTAGGGTAGGCTAAATATGAGACAGAACCTGAAAATATGATTTTCTGGCCAAAGGGGGATTGGTGAATGGCTCATTTGTGGGCCCTGGTAAAATTTTGAGGATGAAGGCCCTTCTGAAGACTGGATTTGAGCTGCACCCGACCCCCACTCCCCGAAAAGCAACCCTTGCAGCACCGGCCGGCCGGGTGTCTTTGTTTGGTGGATAGCCAAATGGCCATATCTCATAACCCACTAATATTAGGTCAAACGAAGTAGGTCTGTCCGATGAGTGGTCAAGACCGATTCCTGTACTTGGCATTGGTCTACCCTTTGATGAGTTTAGTCAACGAGGGTTCCTATGGGAACCAGAACCAACATACGGAAGCACGGGTACGACCAAACCAAAGAACATAAGAGTCCGCCATATTGGGTGGTTTGCTTTTGGCTTCTCTTTACTTCCCCAGAATTAGCTCCCTTTTTTGATTTGTTGCTTTCTTGGGGTCCCTTTGTTTTCCACCAACCAGGCAAAAAATAATGTTTTGCTGGGGTCCTAATTCCAGCCGAGTTTAAACCAATGCAACACGGATACTGGGCCACACGAGCACTTGTGACTATGGCGCAGATCTCTAGGCAGTGGTCATCCACCGGCGCATCTACCCGGATGCCTTGCGCTTGTCCGTGGTATCGGACGAGAGCTGCTTCGAGGTTTGCTGCCAGGCGCGGGCAATTATTGCCTACTTCTGCACTGAACTGAGCCTTTGGGATAGACCCTGTCTCTTAGGGAGGTGTCCAGGGTTAAGTGGGGAATCATCACTTTTGGAGGGGAACACCCCCCCTAGTAACCCTAGTAATATACAGGAGGTTATTGGTATGGGGTCAGCATTCTGGGGCTAAATAACGCACAGCTATGGCAGAGTTGTCCGGCTGCCTTCTTGGGAAACAAGGCATGCCTCCGCAACCAGGTTCATTTGGGATTAGTGAATTGAGAAAGTAATCTGAATAGGGTTTTGGGGTGTTCTCAGCCATATTTGGTCATGCTCACAAGATGATCTATCTTGCCTCGCTGGCTTGCGGGAAATTCAGAGGGTTTTGGGAATGAGCCGGTTGAGATCTGTTAGAGGAAACCTCTCTAGGGATGGTTCATAGGGGTCATCCACCAGCAAGGTGTAGGTTTGAGTGCTTTGCGAGGCGTTTAAAACGCGGCACCCCCTCTTGTTCAGGGCTTCAGCGAACAATTTTACTTTAAAAGCGCATTTGCAGTTTTCTTCAGGAAACGATCGTGACTCGCACATGTTGCTCGCTTGGACTGCTGGCTGAGGGGATTGAACCCCAGCCCCCGACCGATTTGGCGGCTTTTCCGCCCCAACGACCTTTGCCCGTGAGGGGGCTCGGGGGCTCGGGCAACCCAGTCTTGAGGGGAGGGCGCAACACCCTTCTTCTTGCGGCGTCCATCTCCCACTCTGATCAGTCATTGCAGTCCAACAGTCCTCGCTAAGTGGTCGAAGGTGATTCGATCTGGCATGTTGCTCTTTGCTCGTTCCGTCAGAGCAGAGCAAGTGTCGGATTTGCAGACTGGTTCACAGGTCATATAAGGGGCTCCAAATAATACAATCATGATTGTCCCCATGATCATAAGGTATTTGGTTTGATAGATTCTCACAACCGCATTGTAAGTTTTTAGACCCATATGGGCGTGTCAACCTTTTTGAGCGTACCTCTTTTGAGGGTTTCCCAAAAGGAACGCCACAGTTTGCTGGGGGTCCTCCAAAAAAATCCGCAAACGCGTATATTGCCCATCCCATTTGGAGACCACCGCTCAGCGGCCATCGAAACGATTCGATCGAGGCCTCGTCGCGGCGGCTGTGGCGCGAGATCAAGCTCGGGGATTTGATCTCGGCGCTGGGGAAATGGAGGCATCGAGATGCCAAGGCTCCAGGTAGCCTCGGGACCTCGGGGTGGAATCCTTACCCTTCAGGGCGCAAATGGAGGAACAGGTTCCAAAAGGTGATCACCTTGTACTTGCTGGTGCGATGGGAAAATCTGTCATACTCTTTCACCCTAAGGGTCCGATTCGACGGTTTTCTGGCCCTCCAAATGGGTTGTTGTTTTTTGGGCCCTTGAGGAATCGGTCGGGGTTCTCCATTGGAGAGTCCGGGCGTCTGCATTGGAGGGGTCATGACCCTTAGGGCAGTTGGTTTGAAAGATTTCCGAGGTGCCATGTTGGGTACCAATTTTCGAACCACAGCCAGTTGTGTGGTATGGACTTTCCAAATGTAGGATCCAGCCCCCTCCCATACCCCCTGTCTCAATGGATCCTATGAGCAGGGCCCCAAGTTGTTTCAACTATTTCCCTTACCCTCCCTCAGTCTAAGTCTACCTGGTGATGGTTGCAACATGGAACCTGCTACATATGCAATTTATCAGCATGGGCAACTTGCCATTTCTGAGAAATAATCATGGACTCCTCACCTCAAAACCCTTCATAAATGAGCTCGTCTTACCGCCGTTCGGTGCGCTTTTGAACTAGCTTGCCTAGATATTCCCAATATGGTAGTCGTGAATAGATTCAGCTGCAGCACAAACCTGGCCCCTGACACAGTCGTGGCAAATAATAGCCCCTTTCAGTGATACAGATTAGTGGTACTCCCGTCGCCCCATGACTACTGCGTGTCTAGAAATATAGACCCCGTCATTTTTTCCGTGATCAGAAAGTCAACCGCGTAGTGGTAGGTTGAAGGGAAACAACAACCATTTGAGACGCAACCTCCAGCAACAGTCAAAATAATGTCCACTTCGGAGTTATCCCCGGGGCGGGTGCCCCTATATCCGGGGAGCGTATTCCGGATTACCCTCCCTGCAATACTGGAAGCTGACAAAGGGTTTTGGAAGACCACGTTCCTTCTGGGAAGCCCCATGTCATCTCGCTTTCCGAGTGGACTGGCCAAAAGAAGTCCAAGCTTGCTGTTACCACTCCAACGGGGTTTTGTGCTTTCAGCATCATATTTTGGAAAGGCCGAGATCAAGCGTAAGATGAGTCTCCTTATCAAAGTAGCTGACTCCTCTGAAGCTAAGCTGTGTCACTTTCAGCTGTTGTCCACTTATTTGACTCGGCTTTGAGGTTTGTTGTGATGCCCACTCAGCTCGACACCTGCCGCTGCTGTAGCCAGGCACGCCAACACCGACAGCGCTGCGCGCTGCGGGGACGTGTTTGCGGCGGTGGCTGTGGAGGTGCGCGAGATGCGGCACTGGGGCGTTCAGCGCTGCATCGCAGCACAGAAGCGGCTCTTTACCAGAGGCGCTGCCAGATTCAATCGGGTGTTTCTCCAAGTAGGGCACCCCCCAACATGGGTCGTTTCCTTTTTGAGTTGCGTTTCTAGCCCTTTTTGTGGGGGATACCAGTTTGAACTTCAGTTTTCAGAGAAACTCCCCTAATCCTGGGCTTGCGTATGGTTTTCACCCGCCCTGCAGCTTTGGCTCCCCATTTCAGATGCCTTTACAGGGCAGAAAATCCATCGGGATCTTGCGGTTCCTTGAGTTGAACACTGCTTTTGGGGAGTGCGCCTTTCCCATTTTGGAACCAGAAGTGGCGATCGTCAAATGGAAGCCACCAGTAAATTGATCAGTACTCCACACCCCCGGTTCTTAGCATGCAGGCCGAAAGCATGCACCGCTTGGGAAAGGCGACCTGGGCAATTCCTGCCTCCCCAGGCCTATAGGGCGCCGCCAGGCGATACCAAACTTAGGATATGATTTCGGGACCCGAGTTCCTCCCAACTTTTAAGCAGCCCCGTGGCTAAATAAGCCCCGTGGGGGGTTCTTCCGATTTTCATCGTTTCCCGCTATCTTTTGAAGGTTCACAAAGCCAGCCATTCTTAGAACGAATTGAGGAATCTCTTTCTCTCAGCATCACATGACCGTGAAGCAGTTTGTTGAGTACTCCCACCAAAATGCCGGCTTTTCTTTTTGTTAAATCAACATGAAAAAGGGTACCCTCAACAACCAAACCACGCTGGGGCCTGTGATGTGAGAGACTTCTTTTTCAAAATCGTGGTAAGTTGCCCGGGGTATATGGGTTGTGTTTTTTGGAGGGTGCCGGCACACAATATGGAGGGCCTTACAAAGTACCAAGATGTACCAAGGGATCCTACACTTTCAAAGGCTGAGGTGCGTGACCTGACACAACTCTGGATGGACACTCATGGGCAAAGGTTGCTGACAGGGTGGGACTGATTCTGCTTAAAGGCTCAGGTCTTCATATGGAAGTCAAAAGGGCGTCGCGTCAACAATAGGGTGGGGGACATGGCTGGTTTTGTTCTAAGGCATGATTGAGTCTGGGCAAATTATTATTAGAGGCAACACCCCAAATAAGAACTGTTCCAAGTTCCATCAGGAGTTTCTCCCTTTGCCACTCTTTGGAACCTTCAAAAGTGGCAGGTTCAATTGCAACCTAAATTAATCCACCTTCGAACGGGAACGCCAGCGACCCCTGTCCATGTTTCAACCCAAAACAACCGGCTTTCACAGCCAGGCGAGCGGGCGCCCCCGGCTGCACCCGTCCAAGCGCCCAAAGCGGCGCTATGCAGCGCCTACGGTGCCCACGAGGCCCACGGGGGAGGTGACCTGGCGGCGCTGTCGAAGCGCTGCGAGGCCGTGGCGGACTTGGTGCTGGAGGCGCAGCGGGACTTGGCGGCCGGAATTACGCGAAAAGCCGAAGCAGCGGAGGTCTCCGATTTCCGTTTCGGGGCGGGGGGGGATGCTTCTTTTGGGTTTTGTGATTTGCAGAGCAAGTAAGTCGTGGCCATTGTTACACAGGGGGCCAGGAAGAACCACAAACGCGAACAAACTGTTAGCGACCACAAAGTAGCTCCCCCCTGTCCAAAAGAGGTGGCCAGAGGTGGCCACAGATCTCTGCCGATTCCCTTTCAAATACAATACCAAACAAGGACCGGATACTGTTGATCCAACTCCCCACATTCATTGTTCATGGCCCTTGAAGAGGGAAATTTGTTTGGAAAATAGTTCTTCCAGCTAAACCCGCGCTCTCACCAGTCCCTAAGAGTCCCAGAACCTTTCAGGTTCACGCCTTTCTGACCTCTCAAGTCCATCCTACTTCGACCGTTTGTCAGTGGTGCTTGGGTGTTTGGCAGTTACCTGCAAGACTGGCAACTGGGCTCCACAGGGTCTGTTACTAGTGGTTTACAAAATTTACAACCTTTGCGGCTAACCACTTACCAACTTGGAAACGAACAAAGTGCAGATCTGGGTCACCGCAGGTCGCTGGGGGCAAAGATGTCTTGAACCGCGGCAGTGGCGTGGTGGACGTCGCAGGAGGTACGGGGCGCCGCAGTTGCAGTAAGCTGACAGAAAGGCGTGCCTTTTGATCCTGATCCTGGTTTTTCAACCCCAAGCCTTTCTTTTTGACCTCCATTTTGCCTTGTGCCTTTTGACTCCGACCCTGTTTTTTAACCCCAAGCCTCTCTTTTTGACCTACATTTGCACCTTGTTTATGGGCCCGAAAACCTCCCCCCCCCCCAAAAAAAAAAAAGTTCCCCGATTTGTCTGGCGTTTGGGGAGAAAACACTTTATAACTCCGGTTACCCCCAATTGATGGTTTGGATTGGTGGTTAGGGGATTTAGGGCAAATGGGAAATCACCCGAACCACCAAACCACCAAACCCAACACCAATTAGAGGGGGTGCTGAGAAAAAGGCATGAAAGGTGCAATTTCTTCAGTGCCTTTTCTTTGTGAAACATGTGGAATTATGGGTATGTTCTTTGCAGGGTCACCCGGGTGGCCCTTTATTTTGGAGTTGTTTTAAAGGGAAGCTAAAAGGAACCCCACCATTTTCACCATTTTGGGGGTCTGCCTAGAAAAACGAGCCGCCCATGGAGCGAGCGTCCTTTCAAAACCATCCCGCGAGGGGTTTAGGGTTCCCGCTTTCCTGTGTCATAACTTTATGTCCAAATAGGTTGATCAAACCTCAAGGGTAGACAATGCTTTTTGTTGGGAGCAACTCGATTTGATCTTTGTGTAAAGCGCAAGAACACGATCACGACCGACTGGCGATGGAAATGCGACGCCCGCCCGAAAACATCCCTTGGCCTGTTCCAAATGCATGTTCTTGCAGAAAAATAAAACGGAGGCTTTGAATCAACAAGCAGGTTGTTGCAACCCGAAGCAGGAAACAGCAACAGAGATGCGTCATCAATCAGCCCAAGGCCAACCAGAATAAGCGGGGCGGCCAAACGAACCATCCCTCGTTTGTTTTTGTCTGCCCCCACCACCCTGAGAAAAGAAACACAACCCAAGACATATGAATCATACATATACATATATATATATGTATCTGTCTTAGTTTTTTCCGGGTTGCCCATGCATGCGTCGAGGCTCCTATCCTTGGCCCTGGCGATGCGTGGGGTGCGCTGCACCGTGGTGGACCCCCGCAGCAGCTGCGGGTGTCTGCCTTCGCGCGCGCGGAAGTTGGCGCGCAAGACCGGGGCCAAGGAGGGAGCGGAGGTCCGCAGCCACCCGCAGCCTGGGTTACATGGTTGTTGTTGGGAAACGGCTTTTACATTTTTGATCTTATTGTGGTTTAGTGGTTGAAATCCAACCACTTAACTGCTACCCAGCGATGTGCCGTTTCTTTTGCCGCTTCTTTTCTTCTTTTTTTTGGGGGGGGGGGCACATTTTTCCCCCTACTAAAATAGACTAGACAGAAAAAGTGGGTACCCTTCTTCTAACCTCTCTACTGGAGGACCTGGGTTAGTTGTTTTTTGGGCTTACTTTGTGTGGTTAGCCTCCCTTCCACTAACGTGGCACCTGCGGGAGGGTACCTGGAAGATCATTTTCCTCTTGTAGGGAGCCTCTGTCGGGTGCCAGGTTAGTGGTGTTTTTTTTGGACTTTAGTCACCTTTTTGGGTGTGGGCCATTCTGGTGGATGAATTCTGATTCAGAAACTGGGCTGGGTTTAGAAACGAGGATTCAGAAACTTGGATTCCGAAACTTAAGACCGACTGATTTGGAATCTCGGGGTTCAGACACTTCGCAGTGTATCCGGTCTTGTGGCAGGAGTCTATCCTGTCGCAAGGATGGCAGGAGTCCATCAGGTCTACTGGAAGGGCGGGAGTCTGTCAGGTCCTCCCCCCACCCCCACCCACCCCCCCCCCATCCCCCCACCCGCCCCACCTGGTCTGTGGTCCTGTGGTTGTGGTGAGGTGTGGCTTAGGTTTGGTTTAGGGGTAGTTTAGGGTTGGTTTAGGCTTGGGGTTTGCTAAATCAAGGCAAGGTCTGGTGCTGGGGCATGGGACGTGCAGTAGGGAGCGCACTTCACTCTTCCATGGCGTGAATGACGACAACATTGAATACTTGAGCAGCATGCTGCACGATGGTGTTGAACGTTTGACAGAACCAAGAATATATCTATGATATGAAGGACAGACATGACCAGGACAGGTGATGCGGTGAAGAACCATATTTTGCCAAGGATTCCTAAGAGGAGATCGAGAGCAGGAAGGCCCTGCCCAGGGACAATAATTTGACGGTCACCCGCGGACCCACAGGGAATACTCTTCAGAATGCCAGATTCTGGTCCGTGGAAACCGAACCCGCGGGAAAATGACGCGAGGTTGTTGCCCACGGCTTTGGGGCGGTCCGGTGGCTCAGTGAAAGGCCAGCACGACCGGCCGCAGCCGACAATCCACATGCCCAAGCTGAGGAGGGTGAGAACCCACCAAGCACACGCACTGCAAGCGCCTCGGCCTGTCGCAGCTGACAGTCCGGACGCAGACATTCTGCCGCATCCTGAAACATTACCCGTCCACCAGTCATCCGACGGACGCCATTTTGCCACTTCTTGAGGCAGCAGTGAGCGTTAATAACTGCATTCTCAAACGATGTTTGCGAGACTTTGCGACATTATGTCGGTGCCCGGAGTAGTCTGCGGGGCAGTGAGGTCGGTCATGTGGGAAACTGCTTTGTGCCCACACGTGCACGGCGCTGTCAATACGACGTTGGGCATGCCTTGGGCTGTTGGCGGCATGGGAATTGATGCTAAGTTCATGATGTATGTTTCTGATGGCCAAACATAGGTTGGGGTGCCGTCAAAAGCCTTTTGCGAGTTGGCGTGGGCATTGAACTCGAATCCGGTCATGTCAAGACTTTCAGCAGTGCCGAAGGCAAACATTGACATGCATGTGCAAGAAGTATACTGACGCAATCAGAAATTGCTTGATGCTTGGTGACAGAACAACTGGGCACCATCATTTGTGATGCCGTGACAAGCGCACCGCCAGTCCCAAGCAAGCGCAAGCTGGGATGAAGAGATAAAACAACTCTGTTCTGATTCGTCAAGCAAACGCACCTACCGCTGCGAGGATTACTTTTCCTCCATCAGCTTGCACTCGGAAGTGTTCCTCCATCAGCTTGCCCTGTAGATTCTGGAAGGCAGAAAGGATCATGAACTGCAGCAAATCCGAGTTCCACAGGAGGTGCATCGGACAATTCAGAAGCTTCGAGGACTAATGCTGCAACGCCTGCCGGGACACGCGCAGCAGCCACCCCACCGCCGTTCTTCAGCTGCAGCCTCGGCCCATGAAGGCTCAAGTCTCTGGAAACGTCCGGAGCACACCGCACTACAACTTTAAAAGGACTCTCAGCAGTTGGTTTTAACTGGACAACAATGTCTCCTTCATCTTGCAGCAGGCACAATTGCATGATTTCTGGAGATGCCTCCATTCTCAGATTCGGGCTCTCCTCAGAGCACTACTACCAGGAGAAGTGGAGGAAATTTGTTTAGTGTTTGCCCAACTCCTATGACAACCCAAAGATCCAGATCGAGCACGGCATCTCCACGGAGGATAGAAATCCCTCCCATCCTTCTACCCCCCCCCCCTGCGCACACACCCAGATGCCAGACGGTGTAGCGTGCTGCATCTTCGGTGCCGCGCAGAAGCCTTCAAGCACCTTCGTCAATGTCCAAGAATCATGTCCCACATAACAGGACACCGGAAGAAAACCGCGCTTTCAGGAGTTCTTCCACTGACTCACACCATTTAAGGTCTCCTCCAAGACTATGCTATTAGGTACAATCTAGGGTAGACGAAACATGGTCAACAGCATTTGCCAGTTGAACATACTTCTTTTTGTGCACGCCAGTTGTAGTGGTTAGACAGCTGGGGTGTCATCCGGCACTGGACCAGGCGTCACGTATGGTGGCACAAGCTGTCCTTTAGATCCAACTTCAAGCGCTTGTGAGGAGCTCGTGTCTGCTCGGCGCGCCTGGTTCGGCGGCAAGTTGGTGGGGGCAGACGACGCCTTTAAGGGCGCCCAGGACGAGGTGCCCTCTGTCACTGAGGACTGCGAGCTGGTGCGCCTCTGATGGCAAGGGGCGGGTCCAGTTTCTTACTAAACTTCCATTTGCTTCATGAAGATTGTTTGTTATCTTTCCCCTTGTGGCTTCAATTTGTCCATGACCCAAGCGTATTTCCATGTGCTTAAGTTTTGGTGCGCTTCAAATTGTCCCCTCTGGGGTTTAAAGGAATCTACAATTACTGGACATACAGTTGTTCATGTTTTTTCCAGGGGAGGTATTCGCAAATGGAAGTGGTAGACTACCCAGCAGGATTTTGCGGAGAACCCCTGCCAAGCGAACTTGGGGTCAAACAGTTCCCAAGGTCTGGTCTTGGGTTGGCCCAGCTTGTGCCTGCCCTCCCCAAGCGACAGCTATTGGGGGGTGCTTTTGTTGGGACCCGAAAATGGTTGCTTTAAAACCACCAAAAAACGGGGTACCCTCAAAATGATACGACCATTTGGTTGGACGGCCAATCCTGAGTTTCCGGCCAGGTTTCGGCGCTTTGGGGATTGGGCTCATGGAAATGCATTGATCTGGGGGTCGGTTGGTTCCAGTCTCTTTAACAAATTAGCAACCTTGATCTGTTGATCTCGGTGGCGCCCCACCTGTCAGTCCCCCGAAGTGGAGTCAACCCTGTTGCTTCATGGGTGATTGTTTGCCCTTGTGGATAGCCGCTTACTATCTTGGCCCAACACCCAAGTACGCAAATGAGCACAAAAGGACCCGCAGACAAGAGATTTCCCGGAAGCCCGGAATCCTCCAGGAATATCTAAACGTATGCCCCTCCAACCACCAAGTACGAACTATCAACTGCCAACTACAACTACCAACTACCAACTACCCACCCCACCCCACCCCACCCCCACCCTACCCCACCCCACCCCCACCCCACCCCACCCCACCAACCACCCCACCCAACAACCCCATCGCAAGGCGCGAGAGCTCGGCGCTCTGCGCCTTGCACCCGGACGAGGCCACGGAGCTGGTGGTGGACACCGCGCTGAGGCTGCGGAAGCCCTTCGTTGTCGTGCCCTGCTGTACCTCAGCGGACCGCGCACGGGCGGACAGGGGCCCCCGTCTTTGCTTCAGGTTTCTTGGTGGCTCCCAGCCGATCCGGTTCCTTAAAGCTTTTTGGCCTTTTAGCGTTTAGTGGTTGTTTCCATTGAACCCACGGAAAGTTAAAGCCAGAAAAAGACAGGAGGGTGAAATGCAAAGGGTGCAGGGGTTGAACAAAAAGAGGGAAGGGTTAAACAAGAAGGTTCGGAGGGTGCAAAAGACAGGGTTCTCCTTGGCGAACCCACGATCTTGCAATCTTTGTATTTGGATGTTGCGACCAAACTCCCCAAACAAACCAATAGCGGTCTCTTACTGGAAGCCCACCTGCATGTTCGGCCAAGTTGGTAAGCTGTTAGCCATCTCACTAATGACAAGGTTAACTCACCTTTATCATTTTTTTGCCTGTAAGTGGGTCAGAACCCGGGCTACTGGCAACTTGCTAACTTTGGCCGAACACGAGTCTACTACAAACCTATGTTGTCCGAAGTAATCACAAGTTGCTGTTTCTGGGGTCAGCAGACCCATGATTTGTTGAACTTATTTGTTTCCTTCAGCCAACCATGACCCCACGACGGGCAAGTGGTTAGTTCAGACGTCCCCTAAGTGGCATGTCTCCTAACCCGTATTGACTGTAAGTATGAATCACCTGCCAAGTGGGCTGGCCATGTGGGAATTCTGGAACGCTGGCCCCCGAACACATGATAAGGTTTTCAGCTCAGCCAATGTTGGCCATAGTACTGGCAGCGTTGTGACTTTGGAGCAGGCCTAATACTATTCTGTATCGGGTGGGGCGTGTCCAACCCAGAAAGCACCAACCCCCTTTTCAGCCTCTTTCACTTTGAAGGTAATTTGGGGGCTAAATAACCCATATATGTACTATGGTTGAAAGTGTCCCAAAAGGAGACAGAAAACAAGTCAACCGCGTATTCATCACTCTGGTTCATTCGAGCGTTTTTCTCTCCAAAAGTGAAGTATGTCTATCAATCAACCAAGATTGTAGAAGAAGTATATGGTTTCCATTAGTCGCCTGCAGATAGACGCAGCGGTCTCCTCCAAAACTATTTTTGATTTTAGGCTTGCCACAACATGAAGCAGAATGTGAGAATATGATTGTGGTCCCTCTATGTTCCAAGGAGGAAACACAAACAACCATGTGGAGACTCTGATTGCTTTTGCCTCGGGTCTCTTAGGCGTTTTCGCTCGGCTCTTCCCTCATCGCCGTCTGGATGGCGGGCAGGTGAGCTTGGGCGAATTCCATTTCGGCTGAGTCAACACTTTCGGCTTGGGGGCTAGTAATTGGGTCTTCGTTGCCAAGTTAGCAAATTGGTAAAGGTCATGACCCACTCACAAGCCCCATGTGCTTTTTTTTGGCCGCGCATCCGAGTGCCCTCATCCATTCTTTATGCGTAAGAAGGGGAGCATTGACCAGCGCTGTAAGGGTTCTGAACCGGTTCCCTCTAAAGGACGAACACGGACAACCCTCCCCCGCAATAAAAATATATATATATATATTGGCCTGGGGGCCTTGCCCCTCGCTTTTCCGCGCCGAACAATCGGTCGACATGGCAACCTCCATGTCACATTTTGTTTCTTGGATTTTCACTGGTTTCGATTTGGTTTTGAATTGGTGAAGTATCGGTTTAGTATTGATTGGGTACTTGTTTCAGAATGTCCGCTAATACGACTGGAGTTGGGGTCGGCGATCAATTTGCTCGTTTAGTTTGGAGTTTGTGGCATTGGCTAGTTCCAATTTAGGACTGGGAGTTTTGGGGTCTGGAATAAACACATATGAGTAGCGTGCATATGAGTAAGGGAGCCATGTGATTTGTGCACGCATGCTTCCCAGAACACATGCCGATTTTTTTTTCTTCTGGTTGGTGTTAAAAGGACACATGCTGAACTGTGTTTGTCCGTTGGTTTGAAAGGAACATGTGCTGAGTTGTTTTTGTTTGTTTAATTTCAAGAACAAGTTTGGTTGATGTTCAGAGAAAGCATGCTTGATTGATCTTTCCCGTTTGGTTTTTAGTTTGGAAATCAGCGTTCCAAACTGAGCAGGTCTTAAGGGAATAGTGTTTAGACTATGCGGTCAGGCAGGAACCTTTTTTTTTCTTGAAACATTCAGGCTTCCCCTTCACAGCTGAACGCACCATTTATGTTCCTGGTGGGAAACAGCCTGGTTGCTCGAAACCCAGACGGCCTCTGCGTACCTTTGATTCAGGGCAGGGAATGACCCGTATAAACCATCCCCTTGTTTCCTTTAAGGGATCCATTGGTTTAGCCCTACCGACAACCAGCAAGACAAGGGCCTATTTGGTTTTTATCCTTGGCAAATGAACAAGCCAGGCACCTTCCTACTGGTATCCATTTGGCGTTGTGGACAAGCTTGGTCTAGTAGGTGGTAACGCTGCGTCGATGGTTTCTGCTGGACCGCCAAGCCCGTATTCAAACATGTTTGAATGGCATTGTTGGACCAACCTCCTTTTGCCTTCCCCTTGAAGCGGACCGAGTGGTTGTTAAAAGATATCCTAGATCCCTCTTACCGCTGTAGACTAGTAGGTAGCGGTTTGCTTGGTTGCCTACGTTTGTGCTGACTGGAATCACTGGGCATGTTGCCTATCCCTGTCTTTCACCCAACCTTTCCCCCGAAGGTGTCTTCGGTGCCCGACTTCCTCAGCTTTCTGCAGGCAAAGCATCCCTGCATTCGGAAGGCGCGTGTTGGCACAGATGTGCGTGGCACGGCAGATGGCTGGGTGAGAACGCGCAATTTCCGGGTTTCCCGCGTTTCTTTGTTTGGCCTTGGTCGTAGAACCGTGTTTGTTTGTTTCAGACCGCAAGCCAGTTTAGTGCGAGCGGTGTTTTTTTCCGCAAGGTTTGTGTGTCAGTGCACAATTTGCTTCGCCAGCCATGACATTTGTTTCAGCGCTGCCAGCACTCGAGCCAGCCGGCAAGCACGCAAGCCTTGGCTCGCAGACACGCAGCTCATCTAAGCCAAGCCTTGGCTTGAAGTCCCACCTTTTGCAAAACAGGGGGGGGCCGCTGCTTTGGGATTGTTAAGAATCATCAGCCTTTTCTAATTACTTTCTTCAAACACCTCCAAACAGGGGTTTGGAAAATTCTTGGACTATCCCATCCCTAAGGACCCCAAAGCTTAAAAATGAGGTCTTCAGTGTGACCTAAGCCTCCTAGTGGAAACAATTGGGGGAGTCTTTGCTGGAGCCCTAAGGGTCCGACTGTTTTTGGGCCCTCAAATGGGTTGTTGAGGGTCCTCGAGGGCTGTATTGGAGGGTCCGGGCCCTTAGGGAGGGTATTATTTTGTGGTTCAACGCCATTTGTTTTTCGCGTTTGCTCAGGGGCGGGGGTCAGCAAACCAGCCCAGGGTGTGAGCCGCACGCTTTCCAGGTGCAGCTGCCATTCGACGGCGCCAACTGGGCGCTCTTCAGCGCCGCAGAATGCGGCGAGAGGATCGGCGGTGTCGAAAGAATCAAAATTTACCAGGGTTCCATTTTGGGTACCCATTTTTGACCCAATGCCAAATTGGTTTCAAGGCCCACTCCACCCTGAAAGTGAAAAAGATGTCCTGGGCCTGGCCCATGTTGGTCTATTTTCCACAACCATGCTGGTCGGCTTCAACAGAGCACAAGGAGGTTCGATTTGATGTGTCTTCAAGGGGGTGGCCCAATCCATTTCAAGCTCAGTTCCAAGAAGGCTCAGGGTTGAGTCTCTGCCCCTTCCGCCAAGACCTGCCTGTCTTGGGATCTTTCATTTGGTTCGAGCGTCATTCATTTGGTCTTGAAATTCCAGTTTATGTTGTGGTGTGTTTCTTTCCTCAGTTGTTCAGTGGCACCCGTTTTCCTTTTTTTTGGTGGCTGTTTCACTAAAAATGGTCTTCCCCAAAAAGGCTTCCCGTTTTTTCCAGAGTCACTGAACAGCTGAGTTTCATTCGGTTCCAAATCTTCCTTCATTTCCGGCTCTCTCATGTGTTCTACCTTCGCGGGTTCTGGGAGCAACTCCGGTCTTGTGGTACTCGTCACAAATCCGGTTGCGACCCCATATCCCATATGACCCCAGATCCCCAAATTCCAATCACAAACATTCGGAACTTGGGGAACAACATGGAACTTGGTCGGGGAACCCTCACCCACCCACCCCTTCACAAGCAATATTTTAGGAGACCTGTTCTTGTGGGATGCATCTTGTGAGCCCTGTTCGAGTAGTCAAAATGGGAACGGGCCGAGGCGCGACGATGGGGCAGAGGCGAGGGGGGGAGGGGGGGTGGCAGTGGCCGTTTTTTCCTTTGTGCTACGCCGGGAGGGGGGGGGCGCAGAACATGACAAAAGTGGGGGTAACTTCGGCGCATTTTGCTTGGATGTTAGGACTTCAACGTTTTGCCAACTAATGGGTTTTCCATTAAACCACTAAAAGTTAAACTTTTTGCAGGGGAGCGGAACGCAACCGAGGTAAGTTGTTTGTTGTGAAGTGACCCCGGTGCCACTCTCCCTGTCCTCATTTGCTTCATGAGTTTGAAATCTTGCTCGCTTAAGGTTTAAGGGGGCATCGTCACTGCTCACAACGCCCACTCACCCCATCCCCACCGACGACCATGCAGCAAGCAACTGGTTGGTTGTCTTTTGGTTTCCTTTCCAAATTCCACCCAATTCCGGAACATTCCCAAAGGCACTTGGCCCAGTTTCTTTGCTATCAAGACCACAGCTTTGACAGTCTCAGGAAGGGTTCCATGTGTTTCCCTCAGTACCCTCCTTAGCTTTGTTTGCAACCACCTTTTTACCGGCCTGAAGAAAACGAAACCAATGGAAGCCAGCATTTCAGGGGAAACGAAAAAGGAACCACTTCTCTACCCCCTTGAGGCAACCAAAGTTTTTCAAAGGCAACGTACCGGAGTCGGGAAAACCACGAGAGATTCCTTGAGGAAGCCTGCAGGAAAGAGCTGTTTATTGTGATCTAAAGGGAAGCCGAAAGAAAAACACATGTTCACCTTGCCTTGCAGGGAAGCCACAAGGACGCACTTGTTAACCATTTTTTTGTGTGGAAACCAAACGTACACATCTGTTAACCTCTGTTTTTGTGGACACCAAAAGGGAACAAACACATGTATTCTTGAGAAATTCACTTGCCGCAGGCGAATCGACGGGATCTGACCTTCTGCTTTTCCCATGTTGATCCTTTCGTCAAGGTCCCAAGAGGTGATCACCTTTTGGGTCCGAACTGGGCAAGGTGAAAGCAAAGGGAATTCTGAACTTTTCCTCAGTTCAGAGGTTGCTCCTTTGGCCGAAACCTGACGTAGAGGAGCTTCCTGGGTGTGTGATTTTTAAGGGGACCGGGGCCACACACTGGTTCCCTTCGGTTTCCCTCAAAGCCAACCCCACAAAGGGTACCAAACACGACACACACGCACACATACCCACATGAAGCCCCAACTTGGATGTTCAAACAACTTGGGTAAGTTACAACCATGAGCCAACCTACCCGAGTGATAGCCAGGCCATGTTTATCTTGCTGGTGCTCAGTAGGAGCACCAGCAAGATACAACCCTCAGTTGTTCGGTGGCACCAATTCTTTTTCCCTTGTTTTGTGGCTGTTTCACTAAAAATGGTCTTCCCCAAAAAGGGTTCCCTGTTTTCTTCCAGGGTCACTGAACACCTGAGAACCTGCGGGAAACGAATTCCCCACGGCCCACGGAACCCTGAGGAGTCGCTCGTCGCGGGTGTTGTGAGAGACGAGTTTTAGCAGGTGGACCGAGCCCACAGCGCCATCCTGCAACTGCAAAGCCCCGTGCCGGGTGCCCCATGGATCGACGTCGAAGGGGTTGCTCGTCCTCATTATTTCCCCAACAGCTGAAAGCTTTGGGGTCTCAGCCCAGATAGGCTCCGGGGTGGTCCGGGGCGGCCCCGAGGTAAGGTTCCACGAGGGTTCCACCAGGGCTCCATTAGGGTTGCACCAGGGTTCCATTAGGATTCCAGCAGGGTTCCACGAGGGTTCGACGAGGTTCTGCGGGGTGGTGCGAGCAGGAAAAAAAGCACCGCATGCTGTTGGGGATATCACCTGAGCTTTTTTTTAATATATATTTTTTGGGGGGTGTTATTAAGACGTTTTTGGTTAGTGTTCAAGTTGAAGACCTAAAGTTGAACACCCACCATGACTGGAGCTGCGGGAAACAAATCAAGACGAGAATGCTCTCTTCCCGGCAGCGCGTTTTCGCCACATTTGCCGCTTTTCGGGGCTGGCTGACAGGGATTATATGGAACCCAAGCGCCCACATCGATTGGTCGACGAGTCGACTCCTTTGGTGTTGGGTGGCTTCCCTTGGGCTCGTAGGTGGAAGTTTCGCCCAAGTTGCCCGGCCATTTGGATGTTCGGCCAGGTTCGGCCGGGTTGGGAAGTGGGGGGTCCACTTGGGTTGAAAGCCACCAGTAGGGGAGATCCCACTGAGGGGGGGTCACGACCTAGGTTGCCACCAGCTTACCTTCAGTCTCAGCCTGGAGCTCGCCGCAAATACGACCACAACGCCCCGGCAAGTTGTAAGCAAACGCGGGCTGTTTCAGATACGCGCTTTGTCATGGCAACATGCAACTGAGCAGCCCTTGTTTTTCCATACCGGGACAGATACAGTCATGACGATGTATGTGTGTGTGTGTGTGGGTGTGTTTCCGTTTGCTCGGCTTTTGCAGCACATTTCCTATGCTGAATCATAAATTCTAGTGGCGCTACATCGGCACGGGCCTTTCTTAAGGTTTCCCTGGTACCTTGCTTTTTGAGCCCTCAAATACATCCTTACCAGATGCGGAAGCTCGAGGCTCCGGGACCCCCACTTTGTTTCCACTTGCTGGGGACAACTTTTGGCTTGAGAACCTTCGGCGCTTCTGAAATACTTTGAATGTGCTGGATCCTTCAAGTCCATCCGTAGGTACCAACGGAAATTCTGGGCAGGAAACACGTGATAGCTTCGCTGAGCAAGCGCCCGCTTCCTTGCTGGCTGGCCTCGCTTGCGAACGCGCGACATCGGTCCCTTCGATGGGTGCGGTCCAGCGACTTCGTCGGCGGCTGAGGCTGAGAACCATGCTAAGATCGGAGATGGAAGAGTCCAAGTCGAATCGTGCCGGGACCTCGGCACGACGGAAGCGTCCAGTGCTAAATGGGAAACCTGTGAGTGAGTCTCCAAAATAGTCGCGGGCAGTACACAATGGGAGCTTTTTTGTTGGGTTCCCTTGTAAACTTCGGTAAGGGTGCGCACCTGGGGCTCCTTGCCAAGTCAAGTTGGCAACCTACCCTGAGCCTGGGAGCCCTTGAACCCATTAATAAAGAAAGGGTTTTGGAGTTTTGAGACTACCTTCGTGGCTGCCACGGACCTTCAAACGATGAACCTGTCAGGTTTCTCTCTACTTTCCTGTTCAAGGTTGCCATGTTTCTATGCTTGTGAGGAACAACGTATGCCTTGCCTAGAAGTGCAGACTTTCTCTTAGGTTTGCTGTTCTGTCCCAAAGAGGATTTGCAAAACCAGACCAGGTTACAAGAACCACAGCTGACCCCGGCAAGTTGTTGGTCATTTGCAGAATCGCCCACGTTTAGGCCCTCGTGGAGTTCATCCTCTTCGAAGGGGGTTATAACCCAAGCACACACACTAGGTCCGCGCCTCTCAAATAACTCTGTCCTCATCATTGGACCCTTCATTGGAGAGGCCTCGTGTTCTCTTTTGAACCGCGTTTTACCATGTTACAGGTTCTTTCATTTCGCACTATGAAAAAAAGCTGAGACAGAAGCATGCTTGGTGAAATGTATTTTTGTGAGGTACCCCATCCTCATCATTCACCTCCTCACCTCCCGCAGTATTGAAGGATTTCACGAGCTGGGTTGGTTTGTGATCCGAGCCCCTGCAGGGCCCCTACCACCCTCCCCTCCCCCTGCCCTTGGCAATGTTGGGGGTTGCCTCCCCCGGCCTTCGTTGTTTTATTCCAGACATTGTTTCCAAGCTATTGTGCTTTGCTTGAGTTCTTCGTTTTTATATTATGCTCAACTGTTTTAGATGTTGTGACCAGTCGTCAGAGCAGCTTCGGAGAGACCTCATACCCTCCTTGGTTTTTGTGCGTTTGCAGTCCATTTTATAGCAGACACCCGAATTGAATCTGTGGCTTGGTGTAACGGATTTGAACCCGTTGTTTTTGTAGAAGGAGACGGGAAACCACGCTTAACCTCCAAACCACCAAGAGGGAAGCTGAGACCCTTTAACTCATTAAATGTGTGTAGGGGCTTATCCTGGGCTTGTCCATATCATTCCAAAACGATCTGCTCGAGGTTCCTGAGACATCGGCTTGCATCAGAAGAGCGCCTGGTGGAACGATTAAAAAAAAGCCTTAACTTTTCAATGTCTCATATTACCCGACAGATTGGTGGATTGGATTGGTGGGAACTGAGGCAAACCACCAGGCTCCAAGCCACCAACTAGGGAATGCTGAATGTCAGTCCTGTGCCTTATAGAGCTATGGAACACCAAAGTTGACGCGTTGAAGGACTCACAGACAGGATACTGCATCCACTGACATCGAATACGCATCAGGGAGGCGGCCAAGCACTTGAAGGTTGGCCGATGTTAATTACAGTGTTAGCAAACATGGTTTGTCATTGGTACGAATGGCGTTCATTGCCAAGTTAGCAAGCCAGCAGCCTGGGTTATGACCCACTTCTATCCGCAGCCCACACACACACACACACACACACACACACACACACACACACACACACACACACACACACACACACACACACACACACACACACACACACACACACACACACACACACACACACACACACACACACACACACACACACACACACACACACACACACACACACACACACACACACACACACACACACACACACACACACACACACACACACACACACACACACACACACACACACACACACACACACACACACACACACACACACACCCATACACACACCCATACACACACACCCACACCCACACCCACACCCACACCCACACGCACACGCACACGCACACGCACACGCACACGCACACGCACACGCGCACGCGCACGCACACGCACACGCACACGCCCACGCCCACGCCCACGCCCACGCCCACGCGCACGCACACCCACACACCCACACCCACACCCACACCCACACCCACACCCACACACACACACACACACACCGCCCCCACTTGCAGTTTAGTCAAGGACTTTTGGCATCCTTTCGGTGGCTATATACACGCTCACTTAACCCTCCCAAATTTCTAGGGGAAGCTTCCCCATTCCAGGGCACGTAGCTTGTTTTTGATGGTTGAAAAGAATCGGGAATCAAGCCTTAGAAAAAACCGTTGTTTTGTTTGGGGGGGGAACATTCTAGGGGTTGATTGTTGCATTCTTTTCAACCATCGTTCTTTTCAGAAACCAGCCGTTTCCCCTGGGCGTTTGATAGTTTCCTGAAAAGAAGGATCCCTGGAAAGAATGGAAATGGAAGGTACCCCTAGAAACATGGGGATGAAGGATCCTGACTTCCAGGTGGATGCCTTTTTTAGGGGACCCCTACCCCGGTACCCCTAGAAACATGTCGGCGCAGGTGAAGCTGCAGCCGGACTTTGTGGAGGCCTTGCCGCAGGTCTTGCGCTTCTGGTACGGCCTGCCCGCCGCACCGCCCGGTTTTCCCTCGGCTGACCTATAGGGGACGAGCGAACGAGGGGGACGAGTGTTTAGCCACTGAACGAAAGAACGGGCAACTTGGAGGTTTTTAGTTATTAGCAGTAAAAATAGAGATGTTTGATGCTTTTAGGGGGTCCAAAGTGGTGTGTCCCTCCACGGAAAAACAGAAACGATTGTTCCACAGAAAGGCAAACACTTTCCCACGAAGAGTTTGTGTGAAGGTTCCCCCCCTTCCCAAACAACTGTTGAGGGTTCGACATTCGGCAGATTGGCTCCCAATAAGACCAGGGGGTGGTCCTTTTGCCACCTTGGGCACAAGTTTGGCATTCACACTTTAGCCACTGATTCCAGCGGAAAATGCAGCACATACTTGTTTTTTAGTAGCTATATAGGTTTCAAACCTGTGGGAGTGCCATCTCTTGGAGGGCCGGCAATGAGGCCCTCTAGTTGCCAGCCACTTGCTGGGTGTGGGATCTCGGCCAGAGGTCTTTGGAGCAACCTTGAAGTATCTGTAATCTCTTTTGATGAATTGATTTAGATTTTAAGGTTTGCGATGGTCCGGAATCACCACAAAGGGTTGGGCCATTGAGGGGCAAAGGCTGTAGGCCAAAAGCCACAAACTACCATTGTTTTCGTTGCGGCAAGTAACGCAAATCACAAACAAAACAGCGAAACCCCTTAAATGGTTGGTGTCTTTTTGGATCTTTTTGGTCTCCCCTTTTAGACAACCCCAAAACGTGGTACCCCAAGTGGACGCTTTGGTGCATTTTGCTTGCATGTTAGGACTTTAACTATTTGCCAACTACTGGGTTTTCCATTGAACCGCCAAAAGCTGAAAACTTTTAGCAGGGCTTCGCAGATTTCGCCACCGAGGACGTTTGGTTTTTTCTCTTCTTTTTTTTTTCCGCCGGTTGCTCGAAGAACCCCGGTCATCATCGGCTGAGATCTCCGTGGAGAGCTTCGAGTCGGCCGTGAAGCTCCGGAAGCTGGCGGAGTACTACGCCGCTCGGAGCAACCGAATGGGCCTTGGGGCCTTGGGCATCATGCGCAATAAAAAAGTGGGGTGGATGAGGGTATGGCTCAAAAAAAAGGTACTTCAAAATATTTCCCAAAATGGGTTGCCCTGGTAAGTGGAAACATGGACCAAGACCTGAGTAACCCTAGCTCTTTAATTTTGAGCCTCTTTCTCGGATTTGAAATGACATGCACGTGCACAACCGCAGGTCGGATCTAAGCCATTTACTCCCCACTGGACCTCATAGACTCTTTGGGGGAAGTGGCGAGCATTACCCTAACTGGATGTTTAAAAAATGCGCATAGACAAATGACAGTGATCAGTCTCACAAAGGTTTGGGATTGCGGCCGAGCAGCCTCAACTGATCTTGTTCATATTTGTGGTCCATGCTTTATTTCGGATATTTGCCCACATCTGGTCGGCTCAAATGATCACATACTCGCTGAGGCGACAAACAAATCCCTCCATCCCTTGCAAGAACTGCGCGCCTGACAGCGCCCCCCCGTTTTTTTTGGTGTATTTATGTAAATGTACAGTTACATAGCTCTGTTGAAGCCATGTTGACCCCTTTGATGACCCCAAGCACTAGTCAGTCGGAGAGCATGTTTGATCATTTCTATTGAACAAGGAAGGTGAGACAATGTAAGATGTTTTTGCGTTCGTTTCCAAAATGGGTATGCATCCACAGCAGCGGCATGAGCGCCTTGATTGTTTCATGTTGGCTCCCTCTGACACTGTCCAATCAACAGCCAAATTGTAAGCATAATCCGCATATAGTTCAAGAAACTACCTCACTTGATCCAAGCCGACCTTTCGATGCTAACGTGTTTTTCCATCTTGGCCCATGTCCAGTGAAGATTCCAGCAAATGGACCCTTTCATGTCCAGATACTTCGGGCAACCCGAAAGCGTTTCCTCAAAAACACACATATTATATCCTCGAAACAAAACCAACTTAAGCCGTTCCCGGCCATGCTGTTAGCTATCGTGTTTTAGCATTTAGAGGAATTTTTGTCACACATTCCGCGAAACAAAAACTTGTAGCAAGGGATCAACGAACTACAAAACGGCGGCTCCCCGAAAAAAACAAATCAATCGCATCCATATTTCCCCCGCGCGGCCGCTGGCCAATGCCATGTTTCGGGCCTGCCATGCTCCTTGTGGCAAGCTGCTGCTCACATCAATGCCTGGCAGGCAGCCGCTTTTGTCCGGGTCATGTGGGTTTGCCCCAAAATTGGGGACCCCCCGAAATGATTGGGTTTCAATTTGGCTTTCCCTTGAAAACCAACTAAACGGTTCCTCGAACACAGACGCATTTTGGACAAACAGGGTCCTTCAGCGAACCGAGTTCAAGGCACTTCACCGCTGGCAGAACCTGGTTTCTGCAGAAAAGTTTTCCCAGGTTTTGGGATGTCTTTCTTTTGGGGATCAATATTCAGTGGTACTCTACAAGTTTGGACTTTTACTCAGTTGTTCAAAGCCGACCTTTTGACCTGTTGGTTTTCCCTTTTTGGTCTATTTTCAGTAGAGGTCCCAAAAGGTTAACCTTTTATTTACAGGTCCTTTGGGCAAGTGAGTTATTGTTCAGCGACACCCTTTGTGTGTGTGTGTGTGGTAGGCTTGTTTTCAACCCAAAATGGTGGCCCCGCCCAGGGTTCCAGTTCTCTTCTGGGGAGAGCAATCAGGTCTAAGACGCATGGGAGCCCAGCAAAGACAATTCAGGCTGATGAAGAGAGGTAGGCCTCCAATTCGGATGGGTTTTTTACAATGCGGATGGTTGCGAAATCCGCTTCTCGCGCCACCGTGAAACCATAAGTTGAAACCATAACGTTTGTGGGTATTTACAGGGGAAGCATCAAAAACCAGGGTTTCTTGATCATGATGTCATATGACACACATGGTCCTTTGTGGAGGCAGCTTCCTTGGACCAATGCATGGCGTTGACTATCTTGTTGAAAGCGCGCAGTAAGATATTCGTTTTGGAAATCACTTGCGGGAAAGACTACCTGATCGGCACAAAACAAGCAACAAAGTATCCACCTAAGAAACCCTGGAATGGTGATTCCCCCTGTAAATACCAACAAACAATGGTTTCAACCATGGTTTCACAGTGGTGCAGGATTTCGTCCATCCGCATTGTAAAAACCAGCCGAATTGGAGGCCTACCAAGCTTGTCATGCATTCGACAAGAGCGCTTGGCGGGACCAGAGGAAGGCTTCTGGCGCTGTGCCCCTCAGCGGGGCACTGGTGCGCGAATTGACGCCACATGTGGTGCAGGCTTTCTGGGAGCATCACGAATGACTGAAAGCCCCTGGGAAGTTCTGTTTCGGTTCCTTGGAGCTTCCTGGTTTCACTCCTGGGTTCATTTCTGTAAGCTTGATGGCTTACCTTTCATGTTCGGCTTTTTTGGAGAAGACTGGGTTCACTGGGTTCACGGAATCTGTTTTTTCTTTTTTTTCCGGCACAGGCCGTAAAGAATTCTCACCAGGGTGATGCCTGCTTGAATTCATTCCCGGGCCATGTCAGAGGGACGCCTGAATCACTTTTCTCAGGAAACTGGTTTGGATGTCGCGCAAGATTTGACGCTCCACCCCCGCAGGATATTATAAACATATTCTAAAAGAGTACTAAACAAACACGAAAAAGGACCTCAACATGGGGACGAACAGGTGAAATCCAGAAAAAGCGCATCCGACCCGTTTCCTAGAACTTTGGGGGGACCACCCCCCTATTAATCGGCAAGGCTTTTCCTTTCGGGGGCAAAATTGGAGCCGCCAGTCAATCTCCGCACAAAAAGGAATCTCACCTCGTGAAACTCTCTAGGGATTCGCGTGTTTCTGGTTTCGGCATATCAGTTTGCCCAAATTGGTTGCAGGCGCTGACTTCAAAATAGCACATCCCGATATTAATGTCCCCACCACACCAAAAGTGTGCAGAGGTGTTCTTTAAACCCATACCGGTGGTTCTCCTTTCGGGTTTTCCGTGAAAGCCACCAAAGCAGGGCACTTCCCTACGCCTCAACAAAAAGACGAGGCACCCAACCAGAATCGCTGCCAAATCAGCGCCAGGTTTGAGCCTTGGGAGAGCTTCCAGGAAGCCTGCCGCGAGGCGTTGGCAGTTTTCCGTGATGCCGACGGCGGGCGGCGGCTTGGGAGTTCGGCCAAGTTAGCAAGTTGTTGGCGATCTATATAGGTTACAACCCACTTATAAGTTTTTCTAAGTGGGGTTAACCATGTTCTTAGTGGGTTACAACCCTAAGTGGCTAACCACTTGCTCACTTGGACCAGCGGGAAATCACCAACTCATCAGGAGAATACTGTGGATGGGCAAAATCCATTTTGTGTCAGTTGGGACCTGTGAACTGGTTGATAAAGCACCCAACTGGTCCAGGAGTTTGTCCATCCACATGTTGGGGGACATTTGCAAGGGGAGGTTGAGGGACAGGCCGGAATCTCGTTGAAATCTCCTCGGTGTTTGGCGATATTTCCGAAAGGAATTTCTTTGTTGGTTGAAGTCTTGGCACGACTTAGTGTTTTCATCCGATCTGTTTGGCTCGATTGAGTCGAGTCTAGCTGCCCGTCGAGTGCCACTTGGCTTGCTGCTTCCATTTGCTTAAGAGTACTGTTTTACTTTCCCTGGTTGGTTTTAAAGGGAGTTTATCACCATTGGAGATATGCTTATTGTTTCAAGGGGGCTTAAGCAAATGAAGGCTTGTGATGACCCCTTGGAGACCGGTCACGGCTTGGAGTCCTAAATGAGACAAACCCCGTGACACTTTGGAAGCCGGAAGACCCTACGGTCACTGGTAAAGCAAAGCGGCAACTGGAATCTCCTCGATTTGGTCTGAACATTCAAATTGCTGTTGAACACAAAGCATCAGCTGAGGTTTTTGGAGGGTGTCGTCTATTTCTGCCGGAAAACATGACATGTTGTCGTTTTCCAGCTATTCAGCATCCCCAAGTGAAATCAACAGGAAGCCAACAAACACGTAGCTAGTTCCGGACAGTTTCCAACCCCTCCCACCCCCACCCAACCCAGGCAGCCACCCCAATCAACCCAACCCCCCACCCCAACCACCCCAACCAACTCGTCCCCGCCAATGTGACGCGCCCCTTTAGGCGCGGGTGGGGTTGATCGTATGCCTCACGGACCGTGAGCAGATTGCCGGGAAGAGTCCGCGGTACTTGCAGGCAGGGCTCCATAAGGCTCCATATATGGGTGGGCGTGCGACTGAACCCTCTATTTCTCTTTTTCTTTGTTGGCTGCCCCACTAAAAATGGTCTTCACCAAAAATAATTCCCCTTTTTTTCCAGGGTCACTGAACAACTGAGTCTAACTACCCATAATAAGGGATTCACCAACCACAATTGTGGGGCGATCACCCATACTTACGGGAATTGGGAGGGTCCAGGTAGCCTTTTTAGGTGAGCCCCTTTTGGGTTGACTTTAAAGGGCAACCACGGGGAACACTCACCAGAAACCACCCTCAAAAATAGACGGCTATGCACGTAAGAGTTGGAACATGGATGGAGTACAAATCCTTAATTTGCCACACGCACATGTGCCATGGTCGAAAACACATTCTTCACTTGAGGTAGGGGGAACCAACGCACCCGCCCCTTCCCCTTGTCAAAGTCTGGGTCTTTGGGGAGCCAGACACCTTGGGGCAAGAACAGCCGGGGAATCGGGTTTTGATTGTCCATTGCCGCTTGTTTTTCTTGTTCCTCTTTTTTTCCGCGAATTTGTCAGGTACGCAATCATATATACTCACATTTGGGTGTCATGTCTTTTTCACATTGCGCACCAAGTTGTTGGGGGTCACATGACTGATGTTGCCCGCGAAGATTCCCGGGTGGCCTTCTTCACAATTGACCAATCCCGGCTCGATTTGGTCCCGGGTGTCCTTTGCCTTTCAGCGAGTGTTACTGTACTTTTGCGAGGTCTTGGGAACATTGGTTCCTACCTGGTTTCACGGGGCTTAAAACTC